CATCCATGGTGTTTTTATTAAAGAAGTAATTTACTCTTCAGTCTATATTGCTTTTTCCTTTAGTGGCTCACAGAAAAGTGGTTCTTCATGTATTTCATTACTGAAGCAGAATCTAGGAAAACCACATCGAAAACATCTATACCTTTCGTTAACTACTTAGCAAAGCTTCCACAGCATGGAATTCCTTCTCATGTTTATTTCTCTCCGTCTTCAGCACTATTTTTCTGCATCTTCCTGTGTGCTTGCCAGGTTGTTTGTTATGTATTTTTCTTGCTACCATCAGCGACACACCAAATGCCCCGTTTCCAGTCTCAGTAAGACAAGCTCTTGGGACCAGCAGTTGGTGTAATGGCTATGTCGCTGGACTCCCACATAGGTGGTTCGAATCCTGGACCCGGTGGCTTAAACTCACGCTAGGCGCGTGTGTATGTGTGCCCAAGATCCTGAGAGGAGAATGGAGGAGAAGGGATTGTGGTGTGGCCATCCTCCCGGAGGATGATTTCTCGCTTTCTGTCTCTCTGTCTCTCTCTGTCTTTCTGGTCAGCGCACATGCCCTATAGAAAAAAACCTCTCCAAAAAAAAAGACAAGCTGGGTGTGTGTGTGTGTGTGTGTGTGTGTGTGTGTGTGTGTGCGCGCGCGCGTGCATGCAAGGTAAGAGTCATGTGGCATAGGTCTAAGGAGGGGAAGTGTACTAGTGTCCTGGTAACCAGCCACCCCCCACCTATCACTACCAGCACAGCGAAGAGGGGCTCAGGGAACAGAAGGAAGAGGGTTGTCTCATTCCCTGGCTGGATACATACCTAGGCAGGGAGCTTGCGGACCTGCCTGAGCACAGGAAGAGAACCGATGCGAGGACTTCTTGTGTCTGAATGGAATCTCCTGTTTTCAACCTCACAGAGAAGAACTCAGACTTTGAGGATCCGCTCTGACATTTTCTGGTTGTTCACGCGCATTTGCCTTTTAAGCATTATCTCCAATTGTGGTTTCTTTGCAGGAACTTTGTTAAGCCGCATATCCATTTGTAGGAGTTAATGCACTTAAACTTCGGTGATGGCAATGTAATCTGTAAAGCCACTTAGCTAGGTACTTGTGACCTGGAACCCATATGGTAGGTAATCCTTAGCAGCGGTACTGGGAGGCATTAAAAACCAAGCATTTCTGGGGATGCTGGGGTGAAGGAATGGAAGAACCAGACAGAGTAGAAGCCTATTTAGAGGTTCTAGCAGGGAGGCCTGGATTCTCCTGGACCCCAGCCCCTCCTAAAACACATTGATCAAGCCATCAAATTATCTGTCTGGCTTACACATGAGACATTATTCATATATAATTATATATAAATAACAAAGAATACATGCTAGACTCCATTCACCTTGGGAGTTTTATTTGCAATGGAGGTTTCTGGGTGTGTTCGTTTGCTAAGGCTGCCATAACTAAATACCACATATTGTGGTTTATCAGAGATTCATTGTGTCAGCATTCTGGAGCTCAAAGTCTCAGTAGGGTTGGTTCTTTCAGAGGGAGAGTCTGGTCCAGCCTCCCCACCCTCTGCTGGTCTGCTGGCAAGCTTTGGTGTCCTCGGCTTGCAGACGTATCACCCTGATCTCTGCCATGAAGACATGCCATTTTCCCTGGACACATGTCGGTATCCAAATTGCCCCTCTTTTACAAAGTTTATTTTATCCAGGAGAGTGTGCACACGCACATGAGAGAGAGAAAGATACTCGGCAGGGTCTTATCACGTCGTAACCTCCTTCCTGTAGCCCTCTGACCTACCAGGATCTTGGACACGTGTGCATGTACTCAGGATGTTTTTGGGTTAACTTAGGATCCATGGGCCAGCCGATGGTATAGTGGTTAAATCACTGGACTCCCACATGGCTGACTACGGTTCAAATCCTGGACCCAGTGGCTTGAAAACCAAGCCAGGCATGGGTACGTGCATGGCCAAGATCCCAGGAGGAGAATGGAGAAGGAATTGTGGCATGGCCATCCCACCTGGGTGGGGGATGATTTCTCATTTTTCCCCTCACTGTCTCTCTGGTGAGCTCCTGTGCCCTATGGCAAAAACTTCTAAAGAAAAAAAAGGCTAACTTAGAATCCAAACCCCTGGTTGGCCATGTGGCTTCCAGCATCACAGTTCAGTATCTATGGCTTATGCCACGAGGCTAGGCCCAAATGTCTCCTTCTTATAAGGACACCATTTTATAAGGACATGCTGCAGTCCCTTCCCCTTCATTCTCCTGGAATTTTGGGTATGTGCACACACATGCCTGGCATGATTTTTCAAGCCCCCAGGACCAGGACTTGAACCCTGTGAGTCATGTCAAAGAAGTCCAGCACCTTAACCACGATGCCACCTCCTGGCCCCATATTTTTTTCTGTAAATTTTTAAAAACTGTGATAAGGTGCATTTAAGATCTACCCTCTTGAGCTTTCAAGCACACAGTACCGTATTGTGCACGGTGGGCTGAGAGCCATGCAGATCCCTAGTGACTACTCGTCCTGCACAGCTGACACTTTATACCAACTGAACACAAATTCATGTTTTGAACGAGGACTCCAAGTGACTCATATGCTCACTGAAGTTTGAGAACACACAGCCTCCTGAGGTGACCCAGAATGTCCCCTCCCCCTCCCCCTCACACCCACAGGAATACTGAATAAAATAAATAAACCCTACCTTTGCATATGCAGCTGGGTTCAAAAGCAATGAGAGAGAAATTTCCACACGCCAAAGATGGAGAAATCGAAACCAGAGAGCTAAGCATTGGCGGATGCTAGGGCGGCCCCAAGAGGTAGTAGTGGGAACGCAGACCCTAGGGGCTGGGGCTGGGCTGGGGCTCTGATGCTCATGGGGAAGGTGATAGGGCCCTTGCTTGGGTAAAGCCCCAGAGCTGGAATTAACCCTTTCACATGGAGCCTGGAGTCTTGAAGAGGAATCGTGTCAGAGAAAGGAGAACTAGAAAAATTAAGCAGAGTTTTGCTTCGTTAGTTAGAAATGTAGAAGATTGAGGAACTATTGGCCAGTCACTGTCAAAGTCACAGGAACAAATAGCGTTCTTAGCTGAGGTGCTCCTACGGAAAGGAACTTTTTGTTGGGGTAAGGGAGGTATCAGGGGTCATTCTGGAACATCAGAGCAGAGTTGCGGTTTGATAAGATCTGCTGGTGGCTGTTTAGAGCAAGCCGGAGCTGGATGGTGAGCAGCTGGGGACAGGAGTCCTGCCAGGTGGGAAGGATTACGGGCACAGAAGGAGAGAGGAGGCTGCCCCCAGATGAACCTGCTACTTGTAAAGATTTCCAAGATGTTCTGTGCTGTTACCCCGTTGCCCCTCATGAAATCTGCCCACTCCCTCCACCTCAAAGCCCATACAACCTGCTCCTTCTTGGGGCTGGCGGGAGAGTAGCAGGCAGCCTTAGCATGAATCTGAGCTGACAGGGACAATGCTAGTGTAGCACAGCCAGGACCATGTTGCAGCATAGCCATGTAGGACCCTAGCCAGGCCCAGTTTAAGGGAACCAGGGATTCTCAGATCATGTGACCCTTACTCATTTGGGGCCCTCATTCTAGAAATAATTTGACTTTAAAATGAAGATTTCAGGAGTTAGGTGCTGGTGCAGTGCTAGTGCAATTGGACTCTCATAGGAAAGGTCCTGGTTCTGTTTCCGAGACCTCCGAGTGCACCAGGTGCACGTGCACACCCATGAGCAGGCTGGCTGGGACCAAAGGTGGATCGTGGCATGAAGACCCTGTTGGAGACATCTGACCCACTCTCTTTTTCTCTGTTTCTCTCTCATGCCAAAAATAAATGGGTGAACTTTTTAAAAATTATATATATATATACCATAAAATTGCAAGGGCCAAGTGGTGGGATTGCAATAACACAACTGGACCCCCATGGTAAGGTCCCAGGTTCACATCCTGGGGCCTCCCCATGTACACAAGACACATGAGTACATGCCCGTGATCTGAACTGGCTGAGGCTCAGGGTGGATTACAGTGTGAAGACTATGTTGGGGCGCCCATCTCTCTGTCTCTCTGTCTATCATGAGAAATAAAGTTTTAAAAAATGAACATTGAGGGACTAGTAGTGGTTGAGGCATTGGACTCCTATGTGGCTGACTGCGGTTTGAGTCCTGGGCCTGGCAGCTTGAAATCATACAAGGTGCATGTGCGTGCATGTCCAAAATCCCAAGAAGATACTGGAGGAAAAAGGATTGCAGTGTGACCATCCCCTCTGTGGGGTGGGGTGTGTGTGTGTGTGTGTGTGTGTGTGTGTGTGTGTGATTTCTCGCTTTCTGTCTCTATCTCTCTGGCGAGCGCATGTGCCCTATAGCAAAAGTCTCTCAGAAAATAATTGCTATGCCAACTGTGATATCTAAGGTGATTAGTTAAAAACCAACAGCTACCATTTACTGAGTATTATTTATCAGGCTCTGTGCAACTTTAAGCCTATCATGTTTAATTCTCATGACAATCCTATTAGGTAGACATAATTATTATCCCACCTTATCTTGTAGATGAGAAATCATAGGCTTTAAGAGATTATATCATTTATCCAAATTAAGGTTACTCATTAGTAAATAGCGAAGCCTAGACTCTAACTCAGGACTGTCTGATTTCAATATCAATTGTTTGATAGTGCCCAACTCTGCAGAGTAAATTATAGAAGATTCATCCTACTTTGTACAGCTTTTAAAATTTCTAAGTAAAATGGAGACAAACTAATAACCATAGAAAAGAATAACACAACCCAAAAGTGAGCCTCTGAAATGTGTGGGCAGGATAGTTTGGGGGAGTGAAGTCAAGTAGGGTCCCTCATCCCTGGCAAACTCTGCCCCTCATCATACCTATCACTGAGCCAGTGCCTACTCCAATATTTAAGTTGTAGTGTTGTTTCTCCTCAAATCCAGGACACAGTACTTGTGAGAGATGCCAGAGGCTCAGGGAGACACGAGCCTGACCCTGAGAGACTCCTCCTTTCTCCTCCCCACCCACAGGTCAACCCTTTCAGAGATCGCATCTGTAGGGTGTTCTCCCACGATGATGTGTTCTCCTTTGAGGATGTGCTGGGCATGGCATCAGTGTTCAGTGAGCAGGCCTGCCCCAGCCTGAAGATTGAATATGCCTTTCGTATCTACGGTGGGTGCTCGGGGTAAAAGGGGTGCTCAGTGGGGGCGGGGGCGGTGGAGGCCATAGAGGATGTACGACATGTGGAGATGGGATGGCATTTCATTGGGGATGACTTGGGTATTTGTGGGTATGTATTATGTTTCTCAAATACTGTGGAATAAGAAGAAATGATACAGAACTACAACTCCTGTGGTGGATACCCTCAGAGGCCAATGGAGTCTTTGGTATGAATATCTGATGGTAGTGGGTGGGTGGGTAAACCAGAGAGAGAGAGAGAGAAGGCTATCCTCACAGCATAGTAGATAAAGGACCTGGATCCCATATGGCCAACTGTAGTTCGAATCCTAGCCCCAGTGTTTTGAAAAACTCTGTGTGTGTGTGTGTGTGTGTGTGTGTGTCCAAAATCTCATCAGGATGGAAAAATAGAGAAGGGATTGTGGTATGACAATCTCTGTCTGTCCTTCTCTGGTGAATGCATGTGCCCTCTAGCAATTAGAGAAAGAGAGAGAGAGCTTATTGGTATGAAGGAGATATGTGTGTTTGGCAGAAGAAGCAGCACTGGACAGGAAGTGAAGAAATTTGAACACTGGAACAAGCTCAGCTACTAAATGTTTAGCAACTGTGAACAAATCATTTCCATTCTCTAGGGCTTAGTTTTCTCATTTTTTAAATGAAGAGGTTGAGAGAGAGAATCTCTGAGGTCTTTTTTGGTCTCTGATTGTGTGTGGGACTCTGCTAAAATTCTGCTCTTTAACCAGGCAAATATTCCCTTAGCACAACTAAGATGCCCAGAATTCTCAAAAAGAATCAAAAGAAACAAAGACATCTCAAGAAGCCTTCAAACATACCATGGGCAAGGCTTCGAGTGCACAACGATAATTCGGCCCCAAAGTCCCTGCACATTCAGACTTGCACATGTTGGCATCTCACCTGTCTTCCTTTCTTGCCAGTTTCCTCCTGTCTCTACCCGATGGGCAGCATCTTACTTTTGTCTCACTCAAATGAACCTGAGTGAAATGGAGTAGAGGACTTTTAGGCCAAAGGGACTTCTGGGGATTTTCTCATCACTTTTATGTTCCATATGAGCTCAGGTTCAGCACCTAGTAAACACAAATGGTATCAGAGTCCCCCCCTGAGAAAGCCTGAATGGGCTCCCACCATACTGTCGCCCCACAAATAGCAACTATAAACTCTAAGCAAAATACAAACATCAGCTAGCTGTGACACTGGAAAGCTACCAAAAGCTGGTAGACTTTAGAGATATCTGACTCTTGGAAGACGGAAATGACACTGGATGGGCTGGTGGGTTCTCCTCCTTCAGTCTTCCTTCTTTCTTTCCTTCTTTCTTTCCTTCTTTCTTTCCTTCTTTCTTCTCTCTTTCTCTCTTACTCTCTCTCTTTCTTTCTTTCTTCCTTCCTTCCTTCCTTCCTTCCTTCCTTCCTTCCTTCCTTCCTTCCTTCCTTCCTTCCTTCTTTCTTTCTTTCTTTCTTTCTTTCTTTCTTTCTTTCTTTCTTTCTTTCTTTCTTTCTTTCTTTTTCTTTCTTTCTTTTCTTCTTGCTTTCCTTAGAAGACTGTCTTGCCGTGTTGTGAACCTCCAGCCTCGGTCTTCCAAATAGCTAAGACCACATGCATGTGCCATTATACCTGGCCTTTACATTGGACTGCGACTCCAGCCTGGAACTTCCAGGTGGTCCCAGCATGCAGAGCACAGTCTTAATTAACAGCCCATGCCACTGTGGCTGGGCCTTCGTTTTTGTTTTACTAAGCCTTCACTAGGTTGAATAATGTCTACCCACATTGATTAGTGTGATATTTTTTACCCAGTTTACTGATTCAGATGCTAATTTCTTCTGGAAACACTCTCAATAGACATACTCAGAGCTAATGTTTTGCCAGCTCTCTGGGCATCCCTGAACCCAGTCAGGTTGACACATAAAATTAACCATCATAATAATTATACCCAATGATGTAAAAGAAAATATGCTCATAAAGAATGAAAAGATAAGAAATTTCAGGCAAGCCAGGGGCATGATGGCTAAAGTGGCTGGACCCCACAGAGCTGACTACACAGTCTGAGTCCCATACCCAGAGACTTGAAAAACACACTGGGCATGTGTGTGTGTGTTGCCCAAAATCCCAGTAGGAGGGAGAAATGGAGAAGAGACTGTGGCATGATCATGCCCCTGGAGGGTGACTTTCTCTCTCTCTCTCTCTCTCTCTCTCTCTCTCTCTCTCTCTCTCTCTCGCACATATGCCTTGAGGCAAATTTTTTTTAAAAAGCAAAAAGGTAGAAAATCTCAAGAGAGAGAAAGATAAACTATGAGAAAGAACCAAATTAAAAAAAAAAAAAAAACCTGGAATGAAAAAAAAAATCATTGGATGAGCTTAACAAAAGAAATGAGATAACAGAGAAAAAGGGAATAATCTAATCTGAATAAAATAAAAATATTGAGAGAATTCAAGAACAGAGCCTCAGAGACAGGTAAGACAATAGAAAGGTCTAACATACATTCAATTGTAGTCTCAGAAGAAGAGGAAAGAATGAATGGAGCAGAAAAGATATTTGAAGAAACAATAGCCTCAAATGTCCTAAATTTGACACAAGATATTAATTTCCAGTGAACTCCAAGCAAAATAAGCAGAAATGGAGTCATCTACCCCAATTCTGTTAACTTGGTAGTACTTACCTGTCCATTACAGTTTTCCTCCTTCTTTACCCCAATATTTCTAGGAGTCTTCAGGAGTTCCCAGTGTATCAAAAGAGTTCTAGCCCACAAGTTGCTGCTCCTTTCTGGCAGATCTTTCGCCACAGGTGTAACATCCCTGTCAGTGTTTTTCTGGCCAGACAGCTCCTCTGGAAGAATTCTGGCCCAGGCTCAGTTCTCTTGTCTTAGCCAGAGTCTTCAGGCTGCAAGCCACAAAGCTGTAATCAAAGTTTTGGCCATGCTGCATACTCAGCTGGGTGATGCCTGACTGGGAAGGAATCTACTTCAAGCTTCATCCATTTCCTGCGTCTGTAGGACTGAGGGCTCTGACTTTTCCCTATTTGCAGAAGGCTGCCCTCAGCTTCCAGAGGCTGACTTCCTACTGCTTGCTTTGTGGATCTCCCAATATGGCTTCTTGTTTCTTCAAAGACAGCAAGGGAGAGAGATTCTTAAGTCACTTTGCTGGCAAAATGAAGTCTTTAATATAATATAATATAGTCATGAAAGTGACATATCATCACTTGTGCCAAATTCTATCGGTTGGAAGGAAGTCACAGTTTCCATCCACACTAAAAGGGAATGGAGATTATAAGAAAGCATGAACACAAAAAGGTATGAATTATAGCAGAACACTAGAGTTTGTCCATCACAAGCAGCACGGAGCCCATGACAGAAGGAAGCAGGCCTTCCAAGGCCTTAGGAGGCAGCTAGAACGTTGTCAGGAGGTGAGGCAGCTACTCCCTCCTCTCTATGGCTGTCGAGGCTTTCATCCCTGCTTCTCCCCATGAACCTTCTCTTTCTGTAGCTCTGATCTTTATGCCTCTCTGCCATGGGCCAAAGATGACCACCCTGGCTTCCCACATGGTCTGTGTGTGTCACAATAACTGATTGGCCACAAGCATCTTTCCTTTTCTCAGGAGATGCAGACTGGCTCAGCCAAACCTATGATCTAGCTGCCCCTGGGTTAGGTGACAGCTTTGCCCAATCAACTGCAGCCCAAAGGAAACAGAATCATGTCAACAAACGTGATTCCAGAGACCTAATGCTTGCAGGGTGGGGGGCGGGGGACACTTCACAGAGACAGTAAAGTGCAGGCTGGGCAGATATCCCAAAAGATGTCTTTCTCAGCTGTCCTTCCATGGTTTCCAGAACTAAACAAACAAAAACAGCCAAACCTGTCAGGGAGCTAGAAGAGCTGTGGGTTCTCTTTAGGCTTTAAGGCATAGGAACTGAGCTATGTTCAGCTCTGGAATGGGGAGAATGCCCTCGGTCCTAGAGATCAGACTGAGTGTCTTGGGCCAGCTTAAAGACCAGACATCACATTGTCCCCCACAATGTATCTTCCTCCACCCCTTCTCTTCAGATCCTCTTAGGTATTTGCTTTCCTTCCTCCTCATTCTCAAGCACAAAACTCCGGGCGTGTGTGCATGCATGTCCAAGATCCCGAGAGGAGAATGGAAAAGGGATTGCGGCATGGCCATCCCCCCAGGGGCTGATTTCTCACTGTCTCTCAGTCTCTCTCTCTGTCTTTCCGGTGAGCACACGCAACATATATATATATATATAAACCTCTCAAAAAAAAAATAAAAAAGCTCCACACCTTCATGCTCATCAGCCATGCAAATAGAGTCCTAGGGACTCATAAACTCCAAGGCTTCCTCAGATTCCTAGACATTAGGCATTCTCATGGATTCTGAAGATCTGTTACCTTGCAGAACTGCCAGCAGATCAGAGCTGGGCTGCAGGAATCCCTGAGCCTAGTGTTTGCTCAAGGAATGGAGGTGGGGAGATCTACAATGAAGGAAGGGAAAGGAGACAGAGATGGAAAGAAGATGGCTGTGGTGACGGTCACAGTGACCATTCCCAGCAGAAGTCCGACGATCTAATTCAATACTCTCCTCCACGTGTGGCCCATGGCCCAGCCGCATCAGCACTGCCAAGAAGCTTACTGAAAATGCAGAACCCGAGGCCAGACAGTGGCAAAGCAGAGAAGTACTGTCTCCTCTGCATGACTGACCCACAGGAGGGTTCTAGGTTCACATCTGGAGACCCTGTAATACCCTGGGCTTGTGCGTGCCCATGATCTGAGGGGGCTGAAGCTGGGAGTGGATCACTGCACTGAGACTCTGTGGGGGATATTCGCTCTCCGTCTCTCTCTCATGGAAAAAAATGTTTCTGAAACTTTGAAAAAAATGTAGAATCTCAGACCCCACACCTACTGAATCAGAATCTGCATTTTAACAAGGTCCCTAGCAGATTCCTCTGCAGCTAAAGTGAAAGATGCACTCTTGTAACCCACTAGTT